AAAGGAGATTGATTTGCATGGGAGAGGCAAGTCTTCCTTCATGCCAGCCTTTTTTGGGAAAGGTACTTAGTCATGTACAAGTGACCTTTTCCTCGCCCAAATTTATAGATAAAGGTGCCCACCTTTTTATTCCCAAGAAAGGCCTTCAACATTCGGCAAAGATTCTGGTTCTCCTTCTTCTCCATTTCAAAGCAGTTGGTCAAGCTTGGTGCGTCCTCCTCATTGTTTGTATCCTCTATTCTAAGAAGATGCACCCATTGTTGTTCCGCCTTGCTGCTGCCAAGAAAAGTAGGAATCAATTCGACCCTCTTCTTGTTGATCCCCTAGCTATATCGGTGATCGAGCCGGATGAGGAAGGTGCGATGGTAGAACAAGTTGTTGTTGTGCCTGTTTTAGGGGAGGAGTTGGACTCACGCTCAATTGAGGAGACTGATTCTACTCATATCCAGATGGTGGTTTCTCTTGAGGCTACCATGGTCAATACCGGTGCAATTGAACATCCTTTACCAATCTTAGGGCCCAAAGATGACACGTCAATGGTGGGGAAGATGATGATTAAGATGGGCATGGATGATGCCCCACTCGCAACCGTGATGGATGCTATAAGGAAAAATCGCAAAGCCATGGCTAAGGTTGGGATGAATATTGAAAGTCTCTTTGTTGTTCTGGGACAAGAATCTAAGGCTGATAAAGCTATTGCGCCTATTGATGATTCTGGAGTGGTTGTTAAAAACACTCCGAGCGGCAAGCCGAAGAATGCTGGGAAGATGAAGAAAGTATTCCACCGAGGGGCCCGTTCTTCTGCTAGACTGGAAGCACGTGGAGTACCTAAAGGTAGCTACTTGGCTGCAGTAACTATAGTTGATCCTGAGGTGCTTGATGTACTCAGAATCTTCTTCTTCGTCATCCTCGTCGGATGGAGAGGCACTCGAATCTAAGATGCTCGAGGAAGCCTATTTCGGTGGTGGTCTTTTTGGACCAGGTTCTTCTTCCTCTTCTTATCTTTTTTGATGAATTTTCTCTCTTGGAATGTGAGGGTTTGAGTAATCCCAGAAGAAAACGTGATGTTTTGCTTTTAGTGTCTAAGTATAGACCTGTGCTTTTGCCTTTACAAGAAACAAAACTTCTTAGCCCTATGCTTGCGAGGGTGAGGGAAGTTTGGGGTCATGGAGCAGTTTCTTTTGCTGGTATTGATGCAATGGGTAGTTTGGGAGGCCTATGGGTTCTTTGGGATCCTACGGTTCTCTCTTCTTTTGAAACAATTATCCGAGATAATTTCCTCTTGTTGGGTTTTAGGGGTAATCAGTTGAATTTTTCATGGGGTTTTATAAATGTCTATGGGCCAAATGCTTCCTCCTTGAAAGATGGTCTTATTTTTTATATGCACTCTTTTTTACAATCTGTTCCATATCATGTTGTTATTGGGGGGGGGTTTAATCTCATTAGGTGGCCTGATGAAAGTTTAACAGGCCACTCCATAAATCTTTTTATGCGGAAGTTTAACATTTTTATTGAAGCATATGCTTTTTTGGAGTTGCCTATTGTTGGTGCTAAGTTTACTTGGTTCAATAATAGTATAAGTACTCTTGCTATGTCCAAGTTTGACAAATTTCTTGTGTCTGCTGATTGGCTTGAAGTTTTCCCACTGGCCTCTGTGAAAGCGGTGGTGCGGCTCTCCTCAAACCATATTCTCATTTTTCTCAATACAGGTAGTCTGAGGGGAGGGCTTAAGCCATTTCGGTTGGAAGAAAAAAGGCAGTGGAAATCATTAAAAGAACATGGCTGAACACGGTAGTGGTTGGTTAAATGGATTTCCAAATCCAAAAAAAGCAACTGTGTGTTAAACAAAAATAGATAGAGTAGAAAAAAGTTAACAAGGTCGACATTAAGGCAAAGATTGACGTCGTCATTGCGAATATTGAAGGCTTGGACTCTGACCTTCAAAACAGTGGCGAATTATCTGAGGCCTTGATTAATGATTGAATTATGAAGTTGAAAGAGCTTGAGGAGCTACGCATGACTGAAGAAATTTATTAGAAGCAGAGGTCAAGGAATAAATGGTTGAAAGAAGGTGACATAAATATCAAATATTTTCATGCTATTGCCTCCTCTAGAAGAAGGCAGAATGATATTTTAGGTTTGACGATCCTTGGAGTCGATGTTGAGAATCCTTTGGCCATGGAAGAGGGAGTTGTGCAACATTTTAAGAATGCCTTTACTAGGGAGGTTTTCTTGAGCCCCAGGTTTCCCAACGTGCCCTTTAAGTCTCTATAAGGGGGGCCTGCCACCTAGAGAGACCTGTTTGTATGGAGGAATTAAAAAATGATGTCTTTGCTTTGGCTAGGGATAAGGCACCGGGTCCAAATGGTTTCCCAATGCTGTTTTTTCATAAGGTTTGGGATATTCTGAATGAAGATTTACTCGGCTTTGTGAGGGAGTTCTTCATTAGGAGTCCGATCTTTAAAGGTACAAACTCCACCTTTTTTGCTCTAATTCCCAAAAAATCAAATATCAGTGAGCTATCTGATATCAAACCCATTAGCCTGCTCACGAGTGCCTATAAAATTACTGCCAAATTTCTTGCTGAGAGACTAAAAGAAGTTCTTCCATTCCTCATTACAAAGTCTCAGTCAGCTTTCATCAGGGATAGGCAAATAACAGATAATGTCCTAGTTGCACAGGAATGCATTCACTCTTGTGTTCTCTACAAAATGGAAGGTGTAATGCTAAAGTTGGATATAGAGAAGGCTTATGATACAGTGGAGTGGGGGGCGCTACTAGAGATTATGAAGCTTATTGGTTTCGGTGATAGATGGAGAAGTTGGGTATAAGGATGTCTTTCTTCTGCACATTTTTCCATTTTGTTCTAAGGGAGTCTTATTGGTTTTTTCAATACCTCTAGGGGACTTCATCGAGAAGATCCGCTATCACCTTTTCTTTATATTATTTATACATAATGTTTTAATCTCATGCTCAGTAATATTGAGAGGAGTGGAGCCTTCAAATGATTCCATATTACTAACTCAGATATCACTGTCTCATCTTCAATATGTGGATGATACGCTAGTGTTTTGTGATGCTAAAACTGAGCAATTGGAGAATATTACCATATTCTTTGAAATTTGTGAAGTGGTTATGGGGATTAAAGTAAACTTCCACAAGTCCTCTCTGTTGACTATTAACTATAGGAAAATGGTGGCTGAGAACCTTGCTAGAGTGTATGGTTGTAAGGTGGGCTCTTTTCTTACTTTCTAATTGGGCCTACTAATTTCATACTCTAAATTCCCTATTGTTGTGTGGGATAAGGTAATTAAAAGAATACAGGTAAAGCTAGATTTGTGGAAGCATAAGTATTTATCTTTTGGTGGTAGGGTCACTCTGTTTCGATCCTGCCTAGCTAACTTACCTGTATACCAGATATCTTTGATCCAAATTCCTACCTCGGTGGGGAGAAGAATAAAGAAAATGATGAGAGATTTCCTTTGAAAAACAAGAGAATAGTATAGAAAATTTCATTTAATCAAGTGGGATAGAGTGTGCACTCCAAAACGTGAGAGTGGCCTTGGGATACGAAATATAAGGAAATTTAATGAAGCCCTACTGTGTAAATGGTGGTGGAGAAGTATTTATTTTAAAGAACACATTTGGTACAAGGTGTTGCTTTCTTAATATGGGATGGACAACCACAACTTATGCCTCGATAGAGATAGAGGAAAGGATATATCTTTCACTTGAAAGGCCATTTATAATTGTACGCCTATGGTCTCTGAGTATTTTAAATGGAATGTTCGCAATAACAGACAGGTACTATTTTGGCATCATAAGTGGATTGGAATATTCTCCTTAAAGGTAGCATCCTTATATAAACATCCTTATATAAACTTTTATAAAAGATGCTCAAAATCCTTATATAAACTTTTTCCTTTTAAGCATCCTACTCATTAAACAATCCAAGGTGGATTTTGATAATATCCAAGATCTTAAGAATCCATGTACTCAAATAAGCCGTAAACAAAATTAGCAATGAAATCAAAAGGCTAAGTTGATTCAAGGGCCATTACTCATGATTCTAAAGCGACGTTCATGAGTTATCAAGGACAAGCAACAAGCATGGAGGCAAGAAACAAGGCCCATTTAATCATTTCTTGACAAGGTCTTAGGTGCTACACCATTTTATTCGCAGAAGATCCAGTGATCAATGAAAAGACTTGACCAGGTCTCTTGTCCAGATTTTCTCTTAGTTGGACTCAAGGAATGGGAGAGATTTATTCGGGAGAAACATTTGTTTGAGCATCAATGGCAGTACCAAATTTAACGTCCACATACTAGGCACTTGCTTATAGCTCTTTTCAGAAACGCAAAACAAAACTATTAAAAATAAGGTGTGGTTTGCATAAGGTTGCAACATAAAACAATCCAATTAAGATGCACATCAAAATTTTATCATAAATGCAATTTTGACGTCAAAAATTCTTAAGATAGCTTGAAAATCTATTGTCATCTTTAATTATAAAATTTTAAACTCTAAAACCAGTTCAAATCAAGTAAATCTATAAACATATGAAAATATTACAAATAATCCAAATAATATGTTGCAAGATACACTATTTCACAAACTCGATCTTTTTTTCTATTCATATTCATACATTTCAACGTTGAAATGATCAATTAGAGGGTCTTCCAACATCCAAAACCTTTTATGATGGATTTTTTAAGTGCATCTTTAATTCTACATTTTAAGGTTGCAACCTTATATACACTCTTTCCTTAAAAATAAAACGAAATTACTTTGCAACCCAAAGGCAAGATCGCCTATATGTCTCCAACCCACCATAAGGTAGAGCAAAAAATGATGTGAAGTTTATTGAATTAATTTTCTTAGTACAGAAAATAAATTTATCCACCACTTTTGCCAAATTGGTTTGATACAAAAAAAAAACTCCAAACAACTTTGTTTTTCAAAACCAGAAGTAATTTAGTAAATTCAGGGCCAACACTGATAAAATAATCACAATTCCTCTTAGTTTCAATAACGGGAAAGTATTAAAAACAATCACACTGAACACAGCCCAAGATTGCCCAAAAGCATGCTACACGCATCTCTAAGGGATCATGGTCTAAGCAAGAGACATCAACCAGCATAACACCAACAAAAATCCCATAAAATTTGCTAAGGTTTTCTGTTTGCTGCTCCATTTGATGATGAATTGAACTCCTATACAATGATCGCCCATTAAATGCGGAAGAGACAAAAAATTCACTTAACAAAATAAGATTGATAGAATGTGACTATGATACAAGGGGATAAGCATTACTATGCCTCCAAGGCAATCGGCTCGGAGGACTTTTTCCCGAACTTGAGACGAGTCTGCTTAGCTCTCTTTGGAGGACCTGAATGATTAGCAGCATCCAATTCAACATTCAAACGCTAGCCAGAAATATGACAAGACAAACAAAAAGAAAAGAGACTAAAATACTCACCAGCTGCCTTACTTTGGCTATTGGATTCCATTATTGATGACTTCCAATCCTCATAAGCTAACTTTTCCACTCGTTTACGCCTCTTATAGCTTGGCAGCTGTAACCCACATTAGTTATTGTTATTAATCAAAGAAAATGGGAAACAGAAAAAAAAAAAAAAAAAAAAAATTAAATAGTGTGACTTTTAATTTCTCTGGGTTGCACACAATTTTTCCAAAATTGAATTGCAAGGTTATCCTTCTTAGACCATACAAAAGATTATTGCATCACATCAATAATAGCAAAACTAGCCTCTTTTTTGGACAGTCCGTGAGGCACCCATAGAGAAGATATTCCAGAAAACATAATTGGCCAAGTTTTCCATCAGAAGTTTCAAACAAGACGATAAGATATTCACCAATTTTACATCAAGGGCCTCATTGGGACAAGCTTCAAGATATTCAGAATCACTAAGGGCCACAGTATAACTCAAAACTGATCCTGGTCATACTTCATGAATTGGTAGGAATTAACACAGCATGTTGAGAACCAGGGTATATTTTATGGACTTCCATTTCAGTAACCACTGGATATGACCTCAGGAAATGCAACTAATAGCATAAAAAAAAAATTAAATAACAAAAAAAAGGCAGAAATATAAAAGGTTTAAGAAAATACATCAAACATACGGTGATTAAGATACATCATCAAATCACCAAGTACATGGGCACAAAAACTCAGAGAAGGAAAGTAGCAAATCTTAAAATGACAGCAATATAAGACCCATAATGTGATGAGTTTGAGAAAACAATTGGCTCAATCTGTATAGGTTACAGGCACAAGGTATCCATTAACCAATTGGAATATCTCAATTTAGATGCACATTTGGTTTTAATAATAGAGAGGTTTTGATCAATTTCTAGGTAAGTAACCCACATGGAGGCCGTGGAAGTAACAAGTATGCAAGGGTTCCTCAACTACACCAGAGACCATTCTTAAATTAAAACAATGTGGTCTCTAAACAGCTAACAAGGCAAGTTTCTACACTTGTAGAATAAAATATCCAAGCAGGCAAAAACCACTCAAACTGGATAGGCTTAATGTAGAGTTTGACTGAAGACACAAAAAGAGGAAATTCTCATTACAGCCATTCCAATAACTAGAGACATTTGATTCCTCTTTATCCGGGAAGACAACTATAATCTGTTAATTTATTTCAAGCACCAGTACTTCTAATTAATGCACACCTTGTCTTTCCTACAAGCAATATCCTAGATACCAGGATATTTTAATGCATGGTCACTTCAAAACCTAGATCTTGCTCCGGCACTCCAACACACAAGATCTCAATTACAGGCTATTCCTTGATATTAAGGATCTCAATCCAAGACATCAGATATTATGATCCTATGTTAATGAAACCCAGATCCCTGTACCAAAATTCATTGTTTCGTGAATAAACAGAACCAGGATTCCACCAACATAGAATTGAGTATCATATATGCTTTTGGTGCCTCGATCCTAACATAGCAGAACACAATCCCATCCTAAAGGGTTCTGCTTCTTTGCAGATATGGAACTTGATCATAAAAGTCAGGGATCAAGATCCCCACATTTGCCACGTACAGAACTCGTTCTGTCGACCACAGAATTTTGCAGTCTCCTCGCTACACATTCCCACTTCCAATCACAGCATGAAGCACTCATTCCATACTCTTCCAACCAAAAAACATGATGCATTTGACCACAGGTTCTGAGGCTAAATCATACCAATATTCCTGTTTTTAGATGGTGCACACAATTTCTTTGAAAATTCTGTACAATCACTATACAACCAAGAATGATCACACATCAATCACTTAAACTTATTATCAGGCATATTGATCATTTCCAACCAACTTATAAGTAGCAACATCAGCAAGACATTGACCCACACGAGCATGACAGCACTCTAGTGGCATCCCATCCAACTAGAAAAGTGGTGACATCAGCATGACAACAATAACCTCCATTTGGGTTTCTTGTCTAACCAACACTTGTAAAGACAACTAAACCACTTTGAATTCATATAAAGACCATAGCTAACAAGTCTAATAACCTGATCTAATAATAATAATAATAATAATAAATAATAGTAGTAGCAGAAGCAGAAATCATAGTAGTGACGATGATGATGATGATACCCACGGTGAAATGATGATATTGATGATGATTAGGCTAAATGGCATGATATCAATAGACCAACTGAAACCTGCATTATATATTTGAAACTTAGATCCAATCTAGAGCAAGCAAAAGTCACTCCATGAGGTCTGAATCAAAACAAATGAGTCCACTCCAATTCAAAGCCAACTATAGCCAAGATATTCAATCCAATAGAAAAAAGGCCAATCAGATCCAGTAAAAGTTCATCAGAAGCACAGGAAAATCAAACCAATTGAAACATACCCACGCTGTCTATCGAGTTAAAGTATTCAATAGGGTTTATAGAATGATCAAGTATTACAGACTCTCAACAACTCAATATTCATACACTACAGTACCCCCACCATAGAGTTAAGTTGCATTGGACAAAAGAGATAACTAAAGACAAGGGCACACAAAAATACTTAGCATATTCTTAATACAAAAACAAAAGCCATAACAGCAAGTACAAATGCGCTGCTTCTCCATAAAATAGAATTCCAAAATCTGCATCAAGAATAAAGGCCTCGCTCCATTCTACAGTGAACTGACATAATGGGATTCACAAGTCATTTTTACTCTAAATTGCATATGTAATCCCATTCACCATCGTGATCCCAATCACATAGTTCCAGCTTTCAAGATCAACAATGGGCCAATTCCTAACGAGTATTGAATTTCTAACAAAGTTTAGGCTCTCTAAACATTAGCTCAAATGGTCCAAGTATATCAAGCAATGAATAATTATATAGACTGATGAAGGTTATAGTGTAACCCTTGAAGTTTGTGATTGCAACTGCACAATGGTTAATTGAATCCAACATAAATGTTTCTCACCAAAGTCATTGCTTGATTGAAACACAAATATACCACTTTAATCCGTTCAGTTGAACGAAATCATTACTTAGATTGCTATTTTTTTTTTTTCCTATTCGTAACTGAGATTTTTAGGTGTGAGTCAAATAAAATAAGATACATATCAAGCATGCCTTTTTCCAAATTGAAAAAAATTAACAAGAACATACTTAGTTAAATGTATATCCACATGCTTAATTTGCCAGTCTCTTGAAAAATCGATATACAGTTCAATGATTCAATCATATGTACATCCTATCCATAGTAATCAACAAAAGGAAAAGTATACAATAAGACCGGTTATTTCTAGCACAAGGTCACAATTACTATTGACCATTAGATGTGAAATCAGGCAGGAATGTTCTGTGATGGATTGGGCAAAAAACTAAAAAAAAATCAAACCGTATAAACACCCAAGCGTTCAGATTTCACATCCAATGGTCAAGGGCAATTGTTACCTCCTTGTACCAAAAGTGAATAGCCTTATGGCATACAATTCCTTGACAAAATATCACTATCCTATCACCTGTTGCAGTTACAATTTATCAGTATCATGTTTGGTTACTGACAAGGCTTTTATTTTGTAAGCCAATGCAAGTTTGTGATTTATGTGTCACTAGATAGTGAATTTTTAGGAAAGCAACATCTCAAATAAATCACATATTCCCATGTTAGAGAGCATATGCTTGTTATTTTTTCTTGTTCATATTAATACCTAATAATGACATGCAAAGAATGATTACCTCTAATCCATCTTCATCATCAATTGAATCAGATGAATCATCAGAAACACCACCATCATCCTCGTGCTTCCTCTTGCTTGGTAGTGTATCCAATAATTCTGGTCACCATCGTTACATTTTGAATCAGAAAGAAGGTTAACGTTAGGTAAAGATGTAGAGCCTGATGTATGGAATGTCACAATAAAGCTAACAGAATTAGATGGCACTAGCCAAATGATCTTGACAATAACTACTTCAATTATGATCCAAGCCAGGAGTAAATTAGGTCAACAAAACAGCATATTCTGTTAAGAAGAAAGATAATAGAAGCATTAAACATACCAACAAATACAACAACAAACAACAAAACACTTACCTCTATAACTTTTCACTTTCTTTGCGTCTTTCTTTTCCTTTTGAACCCCAAAGACATCAAAGCAAAGGTCATTCATTGAAGTGAAAACCTGCAAGAATATAGCTAAGCAATTGAGTGGAGTTCAATAACAGAACACCAAACATTTCAAAAAATGCCTCAAACAGTGAATGTCTCACACTGTCCTTCAATTGAATGGTCCAGAAAACAACAGCAACAATTCAAATAAATACATGAAATAGAGAAAGGAAAATCAAATAAAATGTTAAAAGCTTGTGATTGACACAGGACTGGGAATCAAATTTGTCAGTAAAGCATGCACACATTAGCATCCAAAACAGGGAGATTGAGGGAATCATAGACTTACACTGGAGAATTCAGACTCTGATGTACCACAGAGCTCGATCAGCTTCAGTTTGTCTACCTTAAGCTATAACATAGAAATCAAATGACTCATTACTACTAAATTGAGGTAGAAAATCTTCAGAGTAAATTGTTTTTGAGCCAACAGAAGTCAAATGCTTGGCATAAAAATAGTAACTTTTCTATTATAATCAGAAAAACTAAGCTCCTGATAATCAAAAAATAATACCTTATTTTTCCTTGCACATAAGTAGAACGCAACAGCAGTGAATACAGGGCGGTTGAAATCAGCCGTTGCCCTTCGAGATGGAGGCAACGCAGCAAGAAACCGTTCCTTATAGCTGATGAACATGGCACATTGGATCATGAAAATCTGGGAAATTAAAAAATAAAACAAAAAGAAATAAAAAAATAAAAATAAACTCAAAGAAATTAACATTAAAAATATCAAATATCTTTTAAGTTGGTGAAAAAAGGGAACTTACAGAGATAAACCCTTCTGTGTGAGGGGAATCAGCCTAACACATCCAAACTGAATCCCCAATTCTCGAATATCCACCTTTGTTCTGTTTATAGAAAGAGGGAGTGAGAAGAGATAGAAAACATATGAATTACACATATAGTTTTGATTGAGTTATAGAATAAATAGTTTGCATCGATATGAACAACTTATGATCAATATAAAGACAGAGCTATAGGGATATAATAGAGAGAGAGACAGGTTTAACAAAAAGTTGCCAACCTGTGGTAAGGAAAAAGGGAAATACACAAATTGGGAAGAGATTTACTTGACTCCGAGACCGTTCTGCAATGCGTTGAAGGATCTGGTGTAAGCCTTCTCCGACATCCCACTCAATCGAATACCCTCCTGCCTATCAAATGGGACCTGCAACCTGGAAAAAATCATCTCATCAAACCCTAACAATCAGGTGAATCCAAGTTCTAGAAAGAGAAAAGCCAGGTCAATAGAGAGATGGATGGAGAAATGCAAATAGCAAACATTCATACTTGGTTGCAGCAAGCTCCAAACATATGACAGCCTTGCAGATCTCCCCCTGCAACAAACACAATCAAATTACAAAAATCACTCTCCCCACGAAAAAACCATTCCAAAACGAATTAACCCAAAAACATAGAGAGGGAGACAGACGCAGCAGCAGAAAGTAAGCACTCCCGCTACAAACATCGTGACAAAGACAGATATACAGAGAGAGAGAAAGAAAGGTAGAGAGACAAAGAGAGGAATGGGGCTTACAATGCCGAGGATGGAGGAGTCAAGATGGAGGTCAGAGAGGCGACGGAGCTCCAGGGCCTTCCTAACGAGGTGAGAGGGGAGTCCGAGCTTCTTAGAGAGACTAGAGATATCCATGGCTATCGATTTCGCCTGCTCTCTCTGTCTCTCTCTCTCTCTCTGAATTTGCTTTTGGTTTTGGTGGGTTACTGTAAAAGGAGGGCGGCCATTTGAAGAAAAAATGAGCGGGAATATTTGGGGGGAAGAAATTGAAGCCATGAGTGAGAAGAGGGAGAGGAGAGCATCCTCTCTCTCTGTTCTTTCTCTCTCTACAATGAAGGAGAGGAAGAGGAAGAAGGCGGGCACCAAAAATTTTCATTTGGCGCCAAATGGGCTTTCTCTGTTCCCGCCTTAAATCCACCCCTTGAATTTAATTTTCCTCGGGCAGGTGTGCCATGCTCGAGCGGGAGCACAATGTTCATTTCCTCCCTAGCTAAAGACCTATTTAAGAAAAGGTGCAGTTTGCATACGGATGCATCTATTGGTGTAGAGGCAAGGTGCAGCTTCAAATTTGCATACGGATGCATCTATTGGTGTAGAGGTAAGGTGCAGCTTCAAATTTTATCATCGTATATAATTTTGATGTAAAATGTTACTAGGATTATCTCAAAATCTATTTTTATATCTAATTATAAAATTTTAAATTTCAAAAATAGTTAAAATCAAGTAGATCTATAAACATATGAAAATCTTGAAAATGGATGGTGTAGATAATATGTTGTAAAATGCATTATTTTTTAGACTTAAAAATCTTTTTATTTTTCATAGTCATACATCTCGATGTCGAGATAATCAATTAAAGTGTTTTTCAACATTAAAACTACCTTTTCCGATGGATTTTTGAGGGGCATCCATAGTTCTACATTATATGATCGCATTCTTATATATGCTTTTTCCTTTAAGAAATTCTTAATTTTAAAAATGTGATTTCAATATTGACATTAAAAACATCATGCGATTATTAAATTAAAATTTTGAATTTTGGATATTTAAAAATAGTGGCTTTGGCCATCCTAAAACTAGAATAATATTTGAGGATTCATCGAAGTTCTATATTTGAAAAGAGCAGGTACATCGCAAGACCATCTATGTATCTACTCCTTAAGTTAAAAGAGGTGGCCGACTTTATTAAAAGGACCTGGTTAATACTGAGGTTGTAGGTACCATGGATTTTCAACTTCACAAACAATTGTTAAACATAAACTGATTACGTAGAAGAAAGATAACAAAGTTGACTTAAAGGCTAAAATCGACGAGATTCTAATCGAGATTGAGTTGTTAAATCAAGTGAATGGAATTATAACTGAGCAATCAGTGATTGAGCGTAGTGTCAAACTTAAGGAGTTCTAAGAGTTATGGAGATCTAAGGAACTTTATTGGAAACAAATATCTAGAAACAAGTGTCTAAAGGAAGGAGATCTCAACAGTAAGTATTTCCACGTAATTGTTACTGCTAGAAGAAGACAAAATAATATTTCGGGTCTGACCATTCTAGGGATTGATTATGAAGATAGTGTTGCCATGGAAATAGGTGTTATTCATTATTTCAAGGCTGCATTTACTAAGGAGGTGACTTTGACCCCAAATTTTGCTAATGTTCCTTTTAATATGCTAGATGTAGAGCGTAAAAGTCTTTTGGAGAGGGATATCACCATCAAGGAATTAAAAAAGGTTGTTCTTGCAATGCCCGGTGATAAGGCGTCAGGTCTGGATAGCTTTCAGTTACTTTTCTTTCATAAATTTTAGAATCTTATTATGGATGAATTGTTGATATTAGTGAGATAGTTTTTTATCAGAGGTCATATTTTTAAGGGTATTACTTCAACCTTTTTTGCATTGACTCCTAAAAAATCAGTGATTAGTGAGCTTTCTGATACCATGTCTGTCAGTTTGCTTACGAGTGTTTATAAAATCAAGGCTAAAGTTTTAGTTGAGTGCCTCAAAGGTCTCCTTTCATTCTTCATCTCAACGTCACAGTTTGTTTTTATTCAGGACCGCCAAATTACTGACAGTGTTTTGGTGACACAAGAATGTATCCATTCTCGTGTGTTGAGAAAGAAGGCAGGTGTTTTGCTTAAATTAGACATGGAAAAGGCATATGATAGGGTGGAGTGGGGGGTATTATTAAATATTATGAAGTTAATGGGATTTGGAGTTAGATGGAGGAGTTGGATTTATGGTTGTCTTTCTTCTGCCTATTGCTATAAGCTTTTTAAATGTAGCCCTATTAGTTTTTTCAATGCTTATAGATGACTTCATCAACGTGATCCACTCTCTCACTTCTGATTTACCATTTACGTCAAGTGTTTTCGCTTTATGTTGACTAGGGTTGAGAGTATGGGAGCCTTTATGGGTTTTAAAATTGCAAATTCTAATATTATTGTCTCTCATTTACAATATGTTGATTATACACTTATTTTTTATGATGCAGAAGTAGTACGATTGGAAAATATCGCTAGATTTTTAGAAATTTACGAAGTGACTCTGGGGATTAAAGTTAATTTTCATAAGTCATCATTGGTGGGCATAAATTGTATAGGATCTACGGTGAATAACCTGGCATTTGTAATGGGGTGTAAAGTGGATTCTTTCTCGATCACTTATCTTGGTTTACCTATTTTAGATTCTAAATTATCTATTGTGGTTTGGGATAGGGTTATTGAGATGGTGCAAGTCAAACTTGATCTATAGAAGCATAAATATTTATCACTGAGGGGCAGGGTGACATTGTTAATATCGTGTTTGGCTAATCTTCCTGTGTACCAAATGTCTGTGATCTAAATTCCAGCCTCTATAGGGAAAAGAATTAAGAAGATGATGAGAGATTTCATGTGGGGTTCGAGTGGTGAGAGTATGAAATTCCATTTGCTGGGATAGAGTCTGCACCTCTAAGCGCGAAGGTGGTTTGGGTATCCAAAATGTCAGAAAGTTTAACCAAAATTTGATGTGCAAATGGTGGTGGCGAAGTATCCATTTGAAAGCTCATCTTTGGTATCAAGTCGATAGTTATGATTTGTATCTCAGTGGTGATAGAGGTAAGAAGACACCTTATATGTAGCGGGTTATTTCCAGCTGCAACCAATGATCTCTGGTTACTTTAGGTGGTATGTTGAAAGTGGTAGGCAAGTTCTGTTCTGGCATCATAAATGGACATGAGATTATCCCCTTAAATGTGCTTTCCCATACCTATTCCGCATGCTATCTAACCCAAATCTTTTGATTTGTAACACCATGGAAAAGAGAGGCTAGTTGTTTTCATAGAATATATATCTCATATACAGGCGCTTAAATAATTTGTTGTTCTCTCAATGGTGTTCGTTAATGTAATTATTAAATAAAGTGTATATCTTACAAGGCGCAGAAGATGTGTTAGTATGGGAGATTGAAAGTGATGGCATGTTTTAGGTTAAATCCTGCTATAACTTGTTTTTTCATGATCGATGGAGATGGTCTCGCCCAAATATTATATAAATCTGGAAATGGCCAATTCCCCATAAAGTCCAAGTTTTTATTTAGCTGGTTGTGCAATATAAAATCTTGACTATTGATAATCTTCTGAAAAGGGGCAAGATTTTGCCAAACGTTTGTTTGCTGCGTAAACAAGATGAGGAATCAGTTACACATCTTTTGATTCATTGCCCCTTTACTTTAAGAATTTGGCATTGGTTAATGAGCATGGTAGGCGTTTCCTTGGTCCTGCCTCAGAGTGTGGTTGAAATTGTTTCTCAGTTTACTCTCCCCTTCCTACCAAAAGTTGGATGTGTGATTTGGAATATTGCAAAAGGAATGATCCTTTAGGAAGTGTGGAAGGAGAGAAATAGGAGAACCTTCAAGGGGACGGCTTTGCCATTTAACAAGGTTACCCGTTTAATAAAACTCTCAGTGTCCAAGGAGGGTTGGGGTATTTCAAAGGTAGATGTTTTGGTCAACGTCTCTAACATGTTCTCTCTTGGTGTAAGTAGATATCGGCCTAAGGGGTTGTAGTTTGCTCTACCTATGAACTGTCTTAAGATAAATTTTGATGGGAGTTCTTTAGGGAATCCTAGGCGAGCTAGTATTGGTGGTGTTATACGTGATTGTTTTGGAAGTATTGTTTTATCTTATGCAGGACTGATTGGTATTGCTACGGCTAATTTTGTGAAATTAAGTGCCTTGCTTAAGGGTATGAAAATTTTCATTGAGACAAATTTGGGTACTAGCTGTCTGATTGAATGAGACTCTTTGAATGTCATTAGATAGTGCAAGAAGGAGTAGAAGGTGCCGTGGGAACTTCGGTCTTTATGGTTACAAGTTATGAATGCAACTGTATCTGTATCAGTTTCTTTCCCCCATGTCTATCGTAAAGCTAACGGCATTGCTGATGCCTTAGCCAAAGCTAGTGTTTCTCTTGATTCTTTTACTATTGTAGAGGATGTAATTTCCTTTTAGTTTATCAACAAAATGATTAAATTTTGGTAAGAAAAAGAAAAAGAGAACCACCTGATGATTATTTTTAAAAAGAAAAAAAAATGAACTTTATGAGTTTTGTGACTCTTAGATCACGACCTTTCAAAAATTCACACCCTTCAAAAATTGGACCGCCTCTGTTTAATTTTGAGACATTAACTTTTTAATGCATAGAGAGCTCAATTCATAAATTTCTTCAATTGAAGTTAGTCAATGGATAAAGCTATTACATCCCCAAAAGTTTGGGCTATAAAATTACTCATTTATTGAGTTGTACTTGAGTAAATGGACAGGAGTATAAAATTTTTGGCTTTTATAAAAGTAGGACAAAGATGAAATTCTAAAGGGCAAAAAAATTGAAGACAGAGAATAACAAAGTGAATTACATGAGAGAAGGCAGTTATTTATTTTTTTGGATAATTTAGTGGGGATGATGAGCCCCTAACCGTTTTTTAAATCGTTAGTAGTTTTTTAATGCGTTAGGTGAGAATAAAAGCCAAGACCTTAGCTTCGGCACAAGTGGTACTACCACCACGACTCCAACCCCATTATCAAAAGAGTGGTAAGTCAGTGGGGATTTGGGCCACTATCCTTTAGTGAGAATAGAGTCAAAGACCTCATCATGGGGCTCGGCAATACTACCACCAAGGCCCCAAGCCATTCTCGATAACGTAGTTAAAACAAGGGAAAATTATAAAAGTCCTCAAACCCTATTGGTGTCACATCACGAACACTTCCCTCTAGTAAAAAAGTAACTTAAAAAAAAAAAACCTCTTTAAACGTACGTTTTTTTTTTTTTCTATTGATGTCGGTCCGACACACACATTAATGAAGCTCGTCAAACACAATGTATGTCGAACCGACACACATTTTGCCGATCTCGTACACATTATGCCGGTCAGGCACACATTATGCCGGTCTGGCACACATTATGCTGGTCTGGCAAACATTATGCCAATCTGGCACACATTATGCCGGTCTGGCACACATTATGTCGGTCATGCATAATGTGTTGCATATTAGCTTTAATAGGGACAATGTACAATGAAACTGGTCTAGCACACATTGTGTTAGATCGGCTTCATTCCAGCGCATATTATGTCGACGAAGTTCATTGTTATAATGAATCTGGTCCACCACACGCGGTGTCGAACGAGCTTTATTGTTTATAATGAAGCCGACAAATTTGAGATGATCCCAAAAACTTCAACGGGCATCACCATGGCAAGACCAAGTTCATAAAAAAGCCAACACCAAATTCTAAAAGTGAAAGGGCAATGAAGAAAGAGGTGCGACCCTATTTCAACATCCAGTACACAGTAAGCACACATTAGGCAACACCTTACCTCTCTTGATAAGGTTGTCAACAATGTGAACCTTATTTTTACACTGTCAGCCATAAGAAAGCTTGTATCTTTAAAGGAAAAGGCCATTGCTAGATTGGGGCAATATGAGGCATCGGCCATCGCCATCGGTCGTGGAAAACGAGGGTATACATGGACTTAACTGAGTACTATCCATCTGACTGAATCTCCCAAATGACTGCGTCAGAGGCATTCTGTGAAACATAGACCTCATGGAGAAGGGAAAGTAGCCCAATGAATTCTTGAAAACTAGCATCGGGAATCCTACTATAGGGGAGAGAAATGTCCCAACTCACCTCGTAGCCCCTGCGTACAATCACATCAGTCACGGTAGCATTGGGGTTAACCATACATCGAAAAATAGCAGGAAAGCGAAGTTTCAAAGGCACATCTCCAACCCACTTTTGGTGTCAGAAAGAGATACTGAAACCATCACCCAAGCACCACCGGACATCCCTGTGAATCAGCACCCTACACGAATGAATGTACCTCCAAAGAGAAGACATAGCCTGTGTACCACTTCTACCTTCTACCCACATCTGAAATCTATTAGCCCCATATTTTGCAGCATCAACTTTGTACTACAGCTGGTCTTTAAGGACCAAGCTTCTCCACCACCATTTAGACATAAGTACTTAGTTAACCAAAGTAACTCGCCTTAAGCCTAGTCCATCTTCCATCCTAGGGGTACACACCCTATCCCATCATAAGAGGTGAAACTTTTTAAAATTGTTGAAAGAGCCCCATAAGAAGTTTCTCATCATAGTTTCAATCTTTTTGGCCACCCTATGAGGAATCTATAGCAAGGACATTGATAAATTGGTAAATTCGAGAGGCAAGCTTTTATCAGGGTAATCTTACCTCCAAAAGAGAGGTATTTATAATTCCATAAATATAATTTAACTTGAATTCTTTGGATTACTTTATCGCAAACAGCCATAGGTAACCTCCCATCTGAAATTGGCAGCCCCAAGTACAAGATAGGGAAGTTCTCTACTATACACCCCAGGGTAGTTGCTATTAGGGCTAATAAGGATTCATCACAATTAATACCAACTACAGCCGACTTCGCAAAATTCATGTTAAGCCCCAAAGTCACTTCGCAAATGTTTAAAAAGCTAGCAACACTAGCTACCTACTTAGTCTTAGCCTCACAAAAGAGCAAGGTGTCATCAGCATACCGTAGGTGCGAGACACATGGGCCATCATTGGGCATTTGAAAGCCCTGAAAGTGTCCCTTAGCCACCACATTGTATGAAAACTACTGCAGCACTCAGCGTAAATGGTGAACAAGAAGGGGGATAAGGGATCACCTTGACGGAGGCCCCTAATAGCACGAAAGAACCAGAAGGACTTCCCTCAAAAAGTACGGATAAATGAGAAGATGACAAGCACCAAAAAATCCAACTCCTCCACTTCTCACCAAAGCCCATGTTTTTCATGACCTCTAGCAAAACACTCTATTCCACTCTATCATACGCTTTCTCCAAATCTAACTTAATGACAACTCCAGCCTCATGACTCAAGATCCTCGAGTGAATGCACTCCTGCGTAACTAGAACACTGTCTGTGATAAGCCTATCCTTGATGAATGCAGATTGTGGACAAAAGATAATATCTGGTAGGACAACTTTAAGTCTCTCAGCAAGCATCTTATCAATGATTTTATAGAGGCTTGAGAGAAGGCTAATAGGCCTGATGTCCCTCAGGGAGGCAATGATAGAATTCTTAGGGATAAGTGCAATAAAAGAAGAATTAACCCCTCGAAAGATTTCACCAGTCCTCAAAAAGTCAAGCACCTTCCCTAGCACCTCGGTACAGACCAAGTTCCAGAATATGTGGAAAAAGAAAAGGGGGAAGCCATCAGGGCCAAAAGCCTTATCACCAGGCATTGCGAAAATCGCTTTTTTCACTTCTTCCATAGACACGTGTCTCGCATGCCATCCGAGAGGCATTTAAAGCCCACTCGAGACAAACTTGGAGTGTCCACCATATCTGAGGTGAAGGCGCATTTAAAATGGTCAACAACTGCAGTAGCCATGTCGGCCTCGTCGTCACGGTTAATTCCACTAATCAGGAGACCAGAGACATCATTCTGTTGCCTTTTGGCATTAGCAATGGTATGGAAAAACTTCGTGCTCAGATTGCCCTCCTTCAACCAATTAACACGTGACCTCTGCTTCCAGTAAACCTCCTCCACTCTATGAAGCTCCTGAAGCTTAGCAATTTTAGCAGATCGTTCCAACACCAACTCCTCGAGGAGGGTACTAGAAGATTGGACAAGAACGTCCAACTCTGAAAAACATCTAAGAGCATTATCAATTTTGCGCTTGACATCATATTGGTTGTCGCTCCTCCAAGTAATAAGCTTATGTTTGATGCTAAGGAGCTTCGTATGGAGCTGAAAGTCCATAGAGCCAAAGGAGATAGAGTAGCCAAAGGGTTTCGGACCTGAAGAAAAGGTCTTAGTACAATAAAACGAGAAACCAAAAATTGCACGACTTTCTTATGGTTGAGGTCGCCCAAACCTCTAACATTCCAGGAAAAAATATTCATAAGGAAGAGTTAAAGGAAGAGAAACTTGGGCCCACTCTCAGCACACTAAAAATAACATCTTCCATGGCAATCTTCCATTCTTCAGTGACGTCCTCCTCATCCGAAGACTGGTTGGAGCTATCATAAAAAACCTGATCCTCGAGGATGACAATTCCAGGGGTAGGCGAAGCAGCACGAAGAACACCCCTAGCCGGCAGCCTCGCCGAGGACTTAGTCCCAATGGCCAGAGCTTTGCCATTCACCTTTGCCTTACGACTTGTCCTGGTTTGATCCGCAGCAGCCACGGGCACAGGGTCAACATCCCGCTTAGCCAGTTTTTCCAATTTCTTCTTCGTAATAATAACCTTATAGACAACGGCAATTGGGAGATCATAGTCCATTTCGCAATCTGAGACCAAACCAGCAACAAGCTTCTCTTCAGCATCTTATAACCCAGACTCGAGACCATCCATCTCATGCTCTAGAGAGTCCATCCCTGCAACAAGATCAGCTGAAGCAGCAGTAGTGAGATCGGCCGTCCCCAAAGGAGCAGAGGTCAGGTGGAGAAGCAATGGGTTGTCATCGTTACTAATTATAGCAAGCGGCGGTGGTGAAACGACTTCCACCAAAGCAAGGCCAGGGTCTTTTACTCCCCACCCACAACATCATCATCAGGATGCAAAGGTTCCTCAGCAACCGGCACATCCATCTCGTCTAGCACCACACCGCTATCAGGTCCGCTTTCTGATGGAAGAGAGGGTACACATTTACAGCAGCCACCAAGAGATAGTAGGCCACCACAGAGAGGTGTTTCTGACCGGCAGCCAAAGAAACCAGAAGCCCCACTAAACACAGGAATCGAAGGTTACAGAAGGGATGCACCGCCTGCTTGCCTTGAGAAGAAGTAAGGGAAAAGACCGTTTGGAAACCATAGGGTGCAGTGAGATAAAGGGTTATGTCGTCAGGTTGTCCTTTCCCAAAGACGGCGCCTTGGTACGGGGCAGCAACATGGCCTGGGGAAAAGGAAAATGTGAAGGTGCTCCCTCAGGGACATCCGATTGAGGTGGACCAACATCACCACAAGCAACACATGCCCCTCCACCACCACCAGTCGCAGCACACTCCACAAATGCAAATCCATGGGCCGTCGAGACCTCCGCAAACCGACCACTGGAATCCAGTGCTTCGTGACATTGGGGAATGTACGTTCCTTCGTTTGACTTTCGGATTTTCGGTGCCCTCTACGTTTGGAGGCCATCTTGGGACGGTTTCAGGAAGAACACGGTTGGCTAGCAACCGATTGCCAATCCCCAATATCACCGAAAAGCTGTTTACCAAGCAGTAAGCAGGGGGCTCTTTTCTCTTCAACTCTAACAGAAACAACGACTGATTCTTTGCCAACCTGGAGAAGAACAAAGTTAGGGACAGGGGCTCCACACCATTTCCGTATTCGAATGTGCACAGAGCAGAGATTAACCCCTTGAAACGATTCTCGGTCAATATCACAGAACTCACCATAGCTGTTGACCATAGAGCGGAATGTATCCATCGACCAAGCATGAAGAGGAACACCAGAAAGTCTAATCCACACACTTTCCTTGCTCAGATAGGAGTGGTGGGAAGAGGGCTTCCACTGGTCCAGATAGAGTAACACCCCTCAAATCCTAATGAAGCGATTAGACAGGCCACACATGCATCCTCGTTCACCTTCAAAATTTGGAGAAGTGGATGAATGTTTGTCCTACATATTCACATCAGATTGTTGGATCATCAATTTGAATCGGTCCAATCGATGATCTGAAAAAATATTAAAATTAAAAACTAATTAAAATAAAAGTTTATAAAGGGATTTTCGGGGGCCTAACAAAACATTGAACAAGTTAAATAAAATAAAAATAATAATAAATATAAATATAAAAAGGGGGTTTTAGGCTAACAGCACTAGTACCCATAACTTCCCTAAATGATTTTAGTTCCAGCCAATTCTCGATTTAGATTGATGAGTTTTAAAACAGTAGCACTAATGTTTGTCGTAACCATCTCATGATTCCAATGATTAAAAACTCGTTGGGTCCCATTAGAGATATACCCAGGATGGAGGAGTTACTCAAAAATCACATAGGGAGACTCTCAAATCTAGGGTGTTGATGATATAAAAAATTGGTTGAGCGAGGCCTTAAACTCAGCATTTGACTTGGGCAAAGTCTAATTAATTTAGGCTCAAGATCCTAACATATCAAAACCATAGGCCGGAAAACCACACAAGAGAGATATCATTCTTCCTAGTGGACATCTCTCAATGGAGATATGATGGAGACAACTCAATCTAGTGGACACCACAGAGAAGAGACCTCCACCCCAAATTCTAGACCTAACCTTGTGGTTCTCATTATACTCCTTGCAATCCAATCAGGGCTTGATCTAAATAAATTTGATATAAATTTGCTCTAAACTTAATTAATTGAAAAGACATTTTGACTGAAAGACGAACAAATGCCGTAGGGAGATTGAATCTTCATTATAAAGAAGTCTGTTTATAGGAAAAAATGTACTAAAAATTTAGAAGGCAGGTTTCTAGATGAATCTTGAGCTTAGACGTGGCTATGTTGCACCTTGCGGCACTGAATTTCCTCTTCCTACTTTGCAATGTGGTGCAAACCGCTAATCAGATCCGGTTTTGCAGATTTTATGGATTTTATTTTTGATGATATTTACTTTTTTATTTTTGATGATATTTACTTGACGTTTTCTATCAAAATCACACGGTTTAACAATTTCATAATGTTTTATATCCAATTCACTGTAAAACCTACATTTTTTGGGAAATTGGATTTCCTAAGATTGGGATTTATGAGATTTAGGGAATATTTCGTTGGACAATGGGTTAGGTTGACTATGGATCGCTATGGACTATGGTGCATTAAACTAGCATGGTCCCTAGGGGTTAAATAGGTCGTTCTAAAGCAGTTTTCTATGATTTATGGGTCATTTGCTATACCTCAGGATCTAGGAATTTAAGAAAAAAGTCAATTTCCGAATGGGTGCCTACACGTACTTCATACCATAAAGTGTGTTTTCTCCCCTCATCGACCCCATTTTGCTCGAGAGAATATGCAATGGAGATTTGGTGGCCTATTTCATGCTCCACACGAAAGGCATATAAAGCCTGGGAGGAGTACTCCCCACCTCAATTATATCTAAGGGTTTTAAAATTATATCTTTAGCTGGTTCTTTTGCCTGGGCCTTGTATTCTCAGAATTTCTCAAGCATTGCATTTCTTAAAAAATAGAGTTTGGTAAGCTAGGAAATAAGATGTAAAACTCACACTCGATCAATTATATCTCACCAAGGGTTAAAGAACTTGATTTAATGCTTATTTTCACTCCTACATATTACTAATATCAATGGCTCATATTCCTCATCCTTAAGAATAACATCTCCAATCAAACCCTAATTTGTTGTTATAAATAGAGGCTTTTACCCCATTTGTCATCCCTCTCTTGTGCATTTTTATACAACGATGTCATCCCTCTCTTATGTATTTTTATACAACGAAAATTTCTTCCAAGCATCTCCTTAGGCCCTTCCAGTCTCCACACTACTCTTATGTGTTGCTTTGGTCCATTGGCTCGTGTTATGTAGAAAGCTTGCTCATCCCTTGGCCATTAAAACTCGTATGTCAAGACTTGTTCCCACACAAGCTCTCTTCCCAAGGTGTTTTGCATCTAGCTTGACTATTTAGCCTTTGCTCCATCGTTATCTTTGTTTTCAGCCAGGTTTTTATCAAAACCCTACTTTTAAATCACCTTTAGCTGGAAAACTAATCTGTCACCAAACTCTATTTTTACGGTCCCAATGGGCACGACAAAAGGCAAGCTTGTTTTTCCTACAGCATAGAAGCTCTATCCTCCCCCCTTACCCAACCATCGAATGAAAGGTTAAGATTGTCCCAATCACAATGTCACGTCTCTGCATCATTTTATTTTTAATGTTTTTTCTATAAACTATTTTGACACCAATTTCGGACATCCATTCCTCTATTAAATTCGCACTAGCGAAAAATATAAGAAAAGTATTTTCAATAAAATAAAATGATCAGAATACCCTTAAAATTTCAAGAGGTATTTTGATCATTATATTTTATCGAAAAATTATTTTCAATATTTTTTATTGGTGCGCCCCAATGAGAAGTTGGCACGTACCAAATTTCATATCCAAACAATTTGTATAAAAAGAACTAAAAATAAAATACTTTGCGATGTCAAATCAAGATCAAACGGTGAGTGGTTCTCTTGATCAAAATTGGATGGCTGGATGGTAGAGGGAGGATAGAACTTCTATGATGTAGGGGAAGCAT